CCACCACCATGCCCGGCTAATTTTTTTTGTATTTTTAGTAGAGATGGGGTTTCACCGTGTTAGCCAGGATGGTCTCGATCTCCTGACCTCGTGATCCGCCTGCCTCGACCTCCCAAAGTTCTGGGATCATAGGCATGAGCCACCGCGCCTGGCCCATTTACCAATTATTAACAGCTGCTGCACACAGAGCCATGCCCCATCACTGAAGTTAACAGAATAAGACTGACAAAGGAGAACAGTATGTGTACAGAGAATTGCCTCTCTCTCAGAAACTGACTCAACATTCTTGTAGTAGGCTGACATCAAAGAAACTTGCAGTGGTAGTTCATGGCTGTGTTCTGCTAACACACTCTGAATCCAGCCCAGACAAAGCCATCTGACCAATCGAAATCTTGTGATAGGTATAGCCGAAACCAGTCTCTAAAGCCTCTCTTTTCCCCTAGACTACTTATCATCTGCATTTCAGTCTATTCTTAGACAGACTAAGGAACTAGTTTACAAGAACACTGACCAGCCCCTCCTTGGCAATATATAACAAGACTAACCAGCCTAGAAATAAAATAGCCGAAATTGTTAGTGACTTACAGTAGAAAACAATAAAGAGCACTGCCCTCAAATAGCTTACATCATTTCAAATGTACTGATCTACAGCTACAGTGGACAAAATATGTCTAGACACTCTTCTCTTTCCCATCAGCAAAAGTCTGCTTGCAAAATGAATTCAATCCCCCTGCCAAGAAGAATTAACCACTTCTTCAAGTCATATAAACACTGTTTACATCTCCACCACAGCATGCATCACATTATCATTATAAATGATGGTCATTTTTACATCCTTGGGACCCAACACACTGCTTGACACATAATGGGTGCTCCATAAATGTTCACTGCAAAAATGAATACACTGGTTTTAGAATGTTTAGATATTTAACAAAAAAATGACTGAATAATTAATGGATGAATAAACAAATTGTGGTACATATATACAATTACAGAATATTATTCAACCATAAAAAGGAATGAAGTATTGCTACATGAACAAACCTAGAAAACATCATGCTAAATGAAAGAAGCTAGACACAAAAAGCCATATGTTCTAAGATTCCTCTTAAATGAAATATTCTGTACAGGAACAGAAAGTAGACTGCTGATTACCAGGAGGGAGGCTGAGAGGAATAATCGCTTAATGGGTACTGGGTTTCTTTTGGGGGTGGGGAAAATGTTTTAAAACCAAAGGTGGTGATTGTACAGTATTGTGAGCACACTAAATTGTTCACTTTAAAATCGTTAATTTTACGTTATGTCATTTCACTTTTATTTTTTAAAACAATGACTAAAGACAAAATGCCTCTCACACAATGAGTTGAAGAGGTGGAAGGCAAGGACTTAAACATCAACCTGCAAGTAAAATCTAGTCTGTTTCATTAACTAAGAAAAGTAAAACAACATTTCATTTTGAGATCAACAAAGAAACGTGAGTCACATAAAACCCACGTCTGAACTATGCTAGTTCTGAACTAGCATAGTTCAGACGTGGGTTTTCAATTTTCTCTTGTTCTAATTTTGGAAAGAGAAAAATATTAACTGAATAATGAGCAATGCCATGCATCTCCCCTTTTTTTCCCATGACTAACTCTAGTAAACTGAGCTCTGCTGCAAGCACTCTTCCTCAGAAGCACAAACAAATTTCAAAGAAAAAGTTAGGTATCTTTTAAACTTCACTTAAAGGGAACATGAATTTATCCCAGCAGAACTATTACCATAAAATGCTAGTTTCAGAGGCAAGGATGACTACCAGCATTTAAAGATTCTGACTTAATGAAATTTACTACTCATCATGGGCTAGTCTTCTCTGAACTTTAGTGAAACCAGGCCATCATTTGGAATATTTTGGCTCCTTACCTCTGGATGCAATAGATTTAATAATAATTTGAATCAATGGATTTCATTAAGTTCAACTGACCCATTTAGAGATAAACAGTGATACATCTGAATTTTTTTTATTTTTCTTTATGATACATCTGGATATTTTAATTAAAAATGACTTACTATAGTGGTAAAATGTACGTAAAATTTACCATTTTAACCACATTTAAATGTGCAGTTCGGTGGCATTAAGTTAAGTACATCCACATTAATGCAGTTACCACCATCTATCTCTAAAACTTTTTATCTTTACAAATGCAAATGGAACTGTGGCCATTAAACTCCCATTCCGATCCCCCAGGCAATCCTACCTTCTTTTTTCTGAGTTTGACTACTCTACATACTTCATATAAGTGAAATCACACAATATTTTTCCTTTTATGTCTCACTTATTTCACTGACTATAATATCTTCAATGTTCATCCATGTTGCAGTATGTGTCAGAATTTCCCTCCTTTTAAAAACGAAATATTTCATTATATATCTATATATATATACACATACTACATTTTGTTTATCCATTGACATGTAGGTTGTTTCCATCTTTTGGCTGTTGTGTACGATAATTTTTATTACACAGCAAATGAAACTGTGGCTACAAAGAGGTTACAAACAGTTACAAAAACATTTGTATAGAATGACTAGAAAGATTTAGAGATGTACAAACAAAGGAATGCAATTTTAGGAAAATTCTTCTATTTTGTCTCAACTGGGCTTAAAATAGAAATGTAAATACAAAATGTTGAAGATTACAGAATGACTTATTACAAAGTAAGCTACAAATGAAGACATAAAGCTATAGTAATGCAGTCTATTTTTATATATTACTCATAAAACAGTGTAGTTATGCTAGCAACAGCTATTCTAAGGGCTATTCTTGATGCCTTCCTAGGAAGGGTCACATAGAGCCTTAACAATTATAATATGAACACGCTATCATTAAACACAAGTCAATTAACCAATGTTTCCTCAATCATTAAAGTGGTTTTCCATTTGTAAATGACTGTACTTCACAGCTACACGGATCAGAAGAAAATGGAAACCCCAAGGCCAGGCGCGGTGGCTCACGTCTGTAATCCCAGCACTCTGGGAGGCCGAGGCGGGTGGATCATTAGGTCAGGAGTTCGAGACCATCCTGGCTAACATGGTGAAACCCCGTCTCTACTAAAATTACAAAAAATTAGCCGGGCGTGGTGGCATGCGCCTGTAGTCCCAGCTACTTGGGAAGCTGAGGCAGGAGAATGGCGTGAACCCGGGAGGCAGAGCGGAGCTTGCAGTGAGCCGAGATTGTGCCACTGCACTCCAGCCTGGAAAAAAAAAAAAAAAAAAGAAAAAAAAGAAAATGGAAACCCTACAGAATGGGGATCAAATTAACATTTGTGATTAGGCCCATTTTAGCTTGAGACCCACAAACAGCCCTCTCAAGACTACAGTTATAAGGTGCAGAGCAAAGCAAAGGTCATCATGAACTGATCACTTGGAAAACTACTCTCCATTCAAACAATGTGCTTTTGTTTCCCCTTCTATGAAACAGAGATGAGAGCACCCCCACCACTGTTATGAAGAACAAATGAAACCAAAGCTCAAAAGGTGCCTACTACTTAGTAATAAGCACTTAATAAGTGCTACAATTATTATTCAGTTTAGATACAAATAATTATCTCCACTTACGTCAGAAACCTATTGTGGTTCAATCTCCCTGCTCATATGCTGTAGATGTAATCTGACAGTACAAGGTAAACCAAATGTAACACTCATCTCTTCAAACAAAGATACAGAATATCATGTTAATGAAAGAACTATTTTAAAAATGACAGGGCATACATTGACAACTGAAGTAGAGAGAAATAAGGATGATGAGGGCATAAGAACTTCAAAATGTAATTTGAACACCAAATGGCTCTAACTTCATTTCCAATACATATCCCCAAGAATCCTTTGATGGAGCACACTGAACATTCTGGCTTCATCTATTAGCAATACCTTTTCTTTCCACCTGGAGAATTTCTGTCCACCCTCTTTATAGTCTCAGTTCACGTTACTTCCTGTAGTTGCTCCCAAAATCCCCAGGCAAAACTATCCCTCCATGACCCCAAAGCACTGAGTTGACAATGTTAGTAAAGCAATCCACACATTGTATTACAGTTAAGTTCTACAAGCTTATCTCCCACAGTAGCCTCTTAAGTTCGACATTGGAACCCAGTGCCACAGTCCGTGACACTAAAGGCACACAAGATGTTTGATGAATTGAAGTGGATTCTAGAAGTTTAGGGCTTGGAAGGGCCAAAGGGGCCAACACTTTCTTTCGGATGCAAAAGTGCGACACCAAGAAGACTAAACGACCTGCCTAAATTATAGACAGTGACTGTGAAAGAACGAATACTCAAGTTCCCTTTCCCAGTAAAATTCATGAGGACAAGATTGTGTGTCTGGCTGATTGCTCCCAACTGGTTCACCCAACAAAGAATCGGAGTGCGTAATACATCCTCAATTAAGTGTTTTCCATAAAAAACAATATAAATGTCAATCCATAAACGCTGGGAAACACACAAATCCTAAAGTTAAATTTTGCGCCGGTCTTGTTTCAATTCCCAATTGCAAATATTCTGAGAAACAGACAAAAATCACCTTGTAAGGCAATGTTATATGAAAATAGTATTTGTAAAACACTTAATCCTTTCCCGCACTAAGACAGTTAAAGTGAAATCTGTTTCCAGGCTTACAGATTTACAGAAGCCTGTCTACACAGAGTGAGTAAGATAATTAAAGCGGACATACAGTATATACCCAAAAAATTTATTTGCACAGTGCAGGCTATGTCAAACGCTAATAAAATGCAAGTGACAACTTGCCTTTGTGGGAACCAGACACAAAGATTCACATTTTGAGGAAGTTCAAGTTTACCGGCCAACAGCCACACCACGATTTGCTGCCGTCATAGAGGGGCCCTAAGGAGAAGGACTGCTTCCAGCAAGTCAAATACTTGGATTTCATCAACGGAGAGACAAAAGAGCCAAGGTGCGCCCAACGCACAAATGCTAAAGGAAACAATCAGTCTCCTTCCCGACCGTCAGGATTAGAAGACAGCCTGATTCCTTCCAGGAAATTCATGTAAGCAGGTCCCCAGAACTCGCTGACAAACACTGCAGCCGAAGGCGGGTATGAGGCCAAGAAATGCCAAGGAACCACTGCGACCCCTCCAGGAGGGCGTGAGGACGGCCGAGCACAACTAGGCACAAAGGTAGAAACGCAACATCTGGGCGGGTCCCGGCGCCAACTCCGATCTCAGGGCCTCCGCGCGCCCAGGGGGCCAGATGCTCAGACCTTGGACTACGGGTCCCCTCGTGGCGGGCAGGCGGCCGATTCCACTTACAGGAGGCCGCAGGCCTTCATGGACCCCAAAGCATACAGGCCAAGTCACCCCCACAGAGAGGCCGCCCCGTCTCTCAGCAACGGCCGCAGCCAGGAGCCGCCGCCCACCCCGGCCCGGATCAGCCTGCCCGCGGCCTTTCTCCTCCTGTCCCCTATCCCGCAGGCCAAATCGGGCTGGTCTTAGTCCCGAACGGTCTTTGGGGCCTCTTCTCCACTCGCTAGGGTCCGGGGCGGTGGGAGAGAGCAGGGACTACAAGGAGGGTCGGCTAGGGTGCTACTGCCCCCTCAACACTCACCATGGCGACTCCCCAGAGCCTGCAGCAAGAAGCACCCACCCCGCGCGGAGCCTCCCGCGGTCATGTGACGCTGCGGCCCCTCCAAGCCCCGCCCTGTCTAGCCCCACCCCCGGGCCCTACAGGCTGCTCATTGATTGGTCTACTTCTAGGAACCGAAGTCTCGCGTGCTTATTGGCCCCGGCCACTTAACGCTAGATGGACGGACCTGGGCGCCAGCCAATCTCACCACAGCGTGTGAGAGTGGGCGGTCGGTGCAGCGCAGTGGGGATCCCCCGGCGGCAGACAGGAGACAACAGGAGGGAAAGGCAGTGTGTGATGAGTTTGTCAAGAAGAAAGGAATGGAAGGAGGGAAAGCCTACAAGTCCACATTCACCATACCTGCCTTGGCGAGTGGGCTGGTGATGCGCATGCGCAAAAGGAAGACCCTGATTGGCTTGTGGGACGGTCTCAACGTCCTGTCCCAACCAATCCACATGCGCCGGGGGTGGGGCCTGGCTCTCACTGGCTGGTGCAGCCTTTGCGCGCGGGTTTCATTGCCCCGCGGCTTTTGCCCGAGTTGTTCGCTTTAGTCCCGGCGCTATGGGGTCGGAGCTGATCGGGCGCCTAGCCCGGCGCCTGGGCCTTGCCGAGCCCGATATGCTGAGGTGAGTTCGGCCGCGCAAGACCAGGGCTGGGCTCCCGCCTCGCGGCCCTGGGCCCTCAGGCGAGGCCGACGCCCTTCCCAGGCGTCGGGCGGCGCGGAAGTGACGGGGAGCGCTGGGCCCGCGCGGGGTTTAGGACACCTACTTCAAGAGAAACTTCCCGGCCGTAAGCTTGAATGAGATGGCAAGAAGGGCGATAGCAAACGGTGATGGCAAACGTCCCTGGGAACAGCCAGCCCTGTCCGCGGGTAGCACGGTGGTAGAAAAATGAGCCAGGGAGAACTTGCCGCTCATTCCGCCAACGCCTACTGCAGTCGGGTTTACAGCAGGGAACCCGACAACGCGGCGCAGACTCCGTTGTCTATAAGGGCGAGGACCTTAACCGGGCCGTGTGCCAGAACCACTGGGCGTGGGGGGGAGCGCGGCCTAGCGGCTGCCTTTAACAAAACAACAACAAAAACTCGGAAAAGCGGGCGCTGTTCCCGCTGAGGCTGGATTGATGGCAGGTGCTAGGCGAGGAAAGATATGGCAAGAGCTGCCCAGGCAGGGACGACAGCTCCTGCAAAAGCCTTGAGATGGGAAGCGGGATCCGGGGTTCGAAATAAAGCCATTGTAGCTAAAACGTGGAGCAGTCAGGCGAGGGAAGGCAAGGAATAGAGCACTTAAAAGATTTGAAGACACACCTGCGAGACTCGGTAGTCGTTTAGAACAGTGGTTCTCAAAATGTGGTTCCTGGGCCAGCAACAGCCATATCATCTTGTCTCTTGTTAGAAATACAAATTCTTCGGTCCCACCTCAAGCCTACTGATCAGTAACTCGGCCTGGGACCAAGTAATTTGTTTTCATAAGCCCCCAAGGTGATTCTCGCCTACAATCATGTTTAAGAACTACTGATTTAAAGGAAATAGGAGGAAAGGAGGAGCCCTGGTCTAACCTGCCTGTCTCTGTGATAGTTCATGCTTGTTCCAGTAATGGAGGGAGGAAAGAAGGGTTATTTTTTTGTCGAAATTTAACTTCCTTTTGCCTGAAAGCATTTGAGCACAGTGATATTTGGAGTCGGTGCTGGTTCTGTCTTCCTCTCCCCAGAGGTATGACCTTCATTCCCAGCCCCAGATAAACGTGCCACAGGAGTTAGGTTTAGTGTGAAGCTCACCAGGCTGTATTCATTGTTTACCAACGTGTTGAGCAAACTTCTGAATAAGTTGTAGCAAACACACTGCCCTTTTAACCAGGAAAGCAGAGGAGTACTTGCGCCTGTCCCGGCTAAAGTGTGTCGGCCTCTCTGCGCGTACCACGGAGACCAGCAGGGCAGTCATGTGCCTGGACCTTGCAGCTTCCTGGATGAAGTGTCCCTTGGACAGGGTAAGTAGGTCCCACCGAATGTCTGAATAATCCAGTGTAACAGTGAAGCTCTTTTAACTTTTGGTTGAACTAAACCCCAGTAAAATCCCTTGTTTTAGATTGGTCTGGCTATTCTTGTATGTTATTCTGGAAATACTGTAGAATCATTTTGCTTTGGAAAAAAATTTTGCCATGTTTTCTTTACTCATCACTGTTTCCCTGACCACCTCTTTCTCGGCTGGAGGCCATCTTCCACATTGCTGCTAGCATTACCCTCGTTTTAAAGCACGTCCAAACCCCTGTGCTTTTCTTCCAATGTCACAGTGTTTGAGAGAACAAGCTTTGGGGTCAGGAGGAGTTAGTTGCGTGTTGAGATCAAATCTCCACACTAGCTAGTTCTGTTAGCCTCCAGTGTCCTCATCCATAAAGTGAAGATAAAATCCAATTTCGCTGGATTATTGTGAGGAGGATTAAACGTACCTAACACCGTTAACACGGTACCTGTGTCATCATGTTACACTCATTAAATGGTAATATTAAAAACAAAGCTTTGTTGATGACCATCAAACCCTCCAGCCTCTCTTGAATCCTGGCCTCAAGCTACAGTATTCACTTAACAGACTCTTCACTTCAATGATTTGTGGCTTTGAAAATGCAATACCTTGTTTTTTCCTGCAGTACTCGTCTGGTAAACTCCTATTTGTCTTACATGACCCTGTCTTATTGTTACATTGAAACTTTACTCAAATCTCCCAGACAGAGCTGGTTTCCCACAGTGGAGCCTCCTGTTTCTTTTCCTACTTTCCTTTTCCTCTTTCACACACACACACACACACACACACACACACACACCCCCACACCCCCACCCCATCCCGTCCCTACTCCACTCCCACTACTTCTCTCCTTCCTTTTCCCAATAAATAACAGTTAGCACCTTTGTATAAACAGAAGTAACCATATATGTGTTTCCTGTGGTTTTTTACTGCCTGTTTGACTATGTTAGTATTGTGTTATAATTTTAAATCATCTGTGCATATGCATGACTGCCTGCTTTTGCATAGTTTGAACTCTTTGAAAGCAGTACTTCCTCAGCCTGACATAATTACCAATTTTTTTACTAAATGAAGCTAAACCTTTAGGTATTAAGGTTTGCCACAAAATTAACTTTGAAAAGTTATACTGCTTATTAAACAAGTGTTTAAGGGTACTAATATATAGAATGTAAAGTTTTTATGATTTGTGTATGTGTGTTTCCTTTCACAGGCTTATTTAATTAAGCTTTCTGGTTTGAACAAGAAGACGTATCAGAGCTGTCTTAAATCGTTTGAGTGTTTACTGGGCCTGAATTCAAATATTGGAATAAGAGACCTAGCTGTACAGTTTAGCTGTACAGAAGCAGTGAATATGGCTTCAAAGATACTAAAAAGGTATGGGGCATAAAGAACCTTAATTGAAAATGTATACCAATAGGCGGGGTGTGGTGGCTCACACCTGTAATCCCAGCACTTTGGGAGGCCGAGTAGGGTGGATCATGTGGTCAGGAGTTCAAGACCAGCCTGGCCAACGTGATGAAACCCCATTTCTACTAAAAATGCAAAAATTAGCTGGGCATGGTGTCATGCACCTGTAATCCCAGCTACTCGGGAGGCTGTGACAGGAGAATTGCTTGAACCCAGGAGGTGGAGGTTGCAGTAAGCCGAGAATGCATCACTGCACTCCAGCCTGGATGACAAAGCAAGACTTCATGGTGGGGGGTGGGGAGTGGGGCGCCACCAGAAAATTTATACTGATAGATACAAATTATCCGTTGTCCTATTCTGGTTAATTTTCAGTCTTAAAAAAATAACTCATGTTAAGTGACAGCACACATATCTCATCCGTTTTAAAAGCTGGTAAGTTCTGGTTTGTACTTTCAGTCTCTTTTCAAATAATATTTTCTAACAGATAATTCTGCAATAACTTCTCCTTTAGCTATGAGTCCAGTCTTCCCCAGACACAGCAAGTAGATCTTGACTTATCCAGGCCACTTTTCACTTCTGCTGCACTGCTTTCAGCATGCAAGTAAGTATTTTATTAAACATTCAGTAAAGTTACCAATTTACAAGTTGGTTTTTCATCCCCAAGGATTACTTCTAATTTAGTTGATATCAATTCAGAGCATATTTTCCCCTAGAAATAATATTAGGAATATTGGCCAAGTGACCATATTCCTAGTTTATCCCATAATGTAGCTAACAACTTGGAACTAGTGTGGTCAGAATTCCACCAGCCAAATAGCAGCTGTATACATATGCTGGGAATTCTGATTTCAGCCTGCCTTTTATAAGAGATGATATCTCTTATAAAAGAGATATCATTAAAACAGTCTTCATATGTGATTTTCTGCTCGTATATTTTTAAAAGTACTGGCTGGGCCAGGCATGGTGGCTCCTGCCTGGAATCCCAACACTTTGGGAGGTGGAGGCAGGAGGACTGCTTGAGGCAAGGAGTTCAAGACTAGCCTAGACAACATAGTGAGACCCGAATCTCTTAAGAAAAAAAAAAAATAGCTGGGTGTCAACGCATGCCTCTAGTCCTGGCTTCTCAGCTACTCAGGAGGCTGAGGCTGAATTCTCACTGGAGCCTAGGAGTTCTTGGTTATAGTGAACTGTGGTCATGCTACTACACTGCAGCCTAGGCAACACAGCAACACCCTGTCTCTTAAAAAAAAAAAAAAGCACTGGCTACAACTGTTCTTCAAGGAATTTATAACATATTTTAGTGATAAATTCTCACATCTGAATCTTAGAATTGTGGGTTATCTATGTGTATACTGAAATGTTACCTTGGAAATACTAGTAATAGTTGATATCTTTGTCTAAAATTGTCTTGTTTTTATCTTGCCAGAAAACTCCTTAGAAAACAAAATGTAGTTGGCCCTTAAAGAATGGATTTCTCACTACCTACTCACTAATGTTGGTATGCTTGGCTCTATTAGCTACATACCTAGGAGTATTAATTGGCATTTGTAGAAAACATCTCTTCAATTCAACAAAAGTATGTGCATATAAAGAGGGAATGTAGCTGTTATTGTAGAAAACAGTGAGACTAGTCAACCCTACTTTTGAAACCATATTATACTGAGTAAGAAAAGGTCTTGACAGGTCTATTATCCTGAAGAAAAAGCTTATTTTGTGTTTGTAATTAGTGGTTGCTGTGGAGTGTTACTAGGAGAGTTTATTTTCAGGGTGAGGTGGGGTTGTTACATTCCTGTAATATAAATATAAATATCCTGTGAGTTAAAACGAGTGGAACATTCAAAAGTCCTATGATTGTCATTCATTAAATTAATCTGAGATTTACTAAAGAGTTCTAAAAGTCATGAAACACTACAGCAAATGTCTTTTATGTACTCCTTTTGTTATAAAACAGATC